TCTAGCCATATTAGGACCTTTTACACGGGGATTTCATGAAATGGTCGCGATGGACTTCCCTATTTTTCTATTTTGTTTACCCTCCAGCATGGATGCTAGGCCTCACCTCTTATCTCTTTTCCTTTTCTTTATCCTTACAGGTTCAGCAGTTATGGATATTGGCTCATTCATTTACATTGGTGTTACCCTTTTCAGCGAAAAAAAGCATTGTTTGCTGCACCTTTTCTGCAATTCGCATAGCCCTCAAAAAGGTTAGCCATACATAATTCCAATGAATTATTCTCAGATTAGTTAAATTCATGTTGCATGATATTATGTGTGTAGATAGAATACCGCCATTCCAGGATCCTGCACTCCACACTGCACTATTCATTGGCAAACCACATCAACCCTTGCTTACAAGAAAAATAAAGCTAGCTAGTGCACTACTGCACCCATCACCGAAGCTTCACCAGGTAACATTTATTGGTTCCAAATATGCACGTTACAGTTCAAAATTAATTCTACGTATCCATTGACATGAAAAACATCTCAAACGCCGACTGTGCTACCTATTATTATATGGATATTTCCTTCCTCATCTATCAAAATACTTGATAAACTGTGCGTTCTTTCCTTCTTCATCCCTTCTTTTTTTTTAATATTCAAACAGGAATCTGGGTGGGTCACATTGTGGTGACTTAACTGTGATCCTTAGTGTTTGATATAGTAAATTGTCCTCTCACATTTTTCTGTCAATGTGTTTTCCAATCCAAACAGAGCAATTTTTTCTGTAACTTAGATACGTGTATAGTGCCATGGAGCCAACATAGCTTATTGTTGTCTTCCTACATGCAGATTCCCAATTTCAGCTTACACTAGGCTATTTTCAGTGCAAGATAAAAAATGAGAGGTATTTTCTTGTTTAGCCTTTTGCATACAATAAAAATATTTCTCCGCTTCCTGATCCTACTCTACTAACATATACGATCAGCTTCTAATGTATTCCCTTCTAAATTTTGTTCCTCTGTATTCCTTCTTAACGATAGCTTGGATATAAAACATGGCAATGGTACCAGCATTTTATAATACTGAGCTATGCATTACAAAAAATATATAGACAAAATTCGATATCGGCCTGATAATCCTATATTCTAGTTTGTGGGTAGAATGAGCGTTACTATTATTACTGATCAGTGCTGTGACAGTTTGGTGTGCAATTTTAAAAATTCATTACTTCTTAGCCTGATATAGATAGCCAGTGAAAGACAATTGGTTTGATATTAAAAGTAGTCTAGTTATGTTTTCGAAGCTGCGTATGTGCGATTTCAGGGTCTTATTATAGCAAACTGCAGTTCATGTATTACATTGGGTGACCTTACTGATCTGTTAGGCTGAGAAACTAAAGCATCCTACAGTTGGTTAAACAACTTTATATATTATTAATATTTAATAGTCTCATACCTCATCAACATACTTGCTGACTATTGCACATGTTCCTTTGGTTTGTGCATGCTATTTCCCCCAAATGTTCTACTTTCTACAGTCCTACCTTAGACACCATTTCATACTACCTATGGTACCAAACCTTTTACTGCTGCGTGACAAATTTGCAAGATGGAATCATATTTTACTGCTTCATTTTCCCATGTCCACGAGTGGTCATACTAAATCTAATTTGGTTGAATTTTGCTTTATTTGCTACAGCCCCATCTGCAAACACTAATGCTAGCATGATTCTTCCAGCGCTGCTTCATAAAAGGTATGATGCTCACTCAGATTAGTGGTCCTCTATTTATAGTATAGTCTGTTCATATGTTACAGACTATCACATGCTGGATCGCAATGTTCCCACGAAGCACCTGTTACAAAACACGTACTATCTGATTAAGGTATTCAGGATGCTACCACTGTCTGTTAAGCTTTAGAATTAATTCTACAGGCTTGGCTATTTTTTTTGTTTGCCTCCGTGGTTCCCTTTTGTTATCTGTGTTTTAATAATATAGCGTGACAGAACTCTTGCCGTCATTTAACGAAAAAATGTTACTTAATACCATTCTTATTTCTACACTCCTTATTTTTGCATACTCGCAACTAAACCTGCTACCAATAATCACAAGTAGGTCTAGAAAATGATTTGACAAGCAAGCAACGGGATTGTCTTTGTTGCATTTTAGTTATAACTGATACCTCTTGTTAAAAATAGATCAGTAAGACATACAGAATGACAACTTCCTTGCAAAAAACTATTCCAGGACGAAATTGGTGCTGCAAAGGTAGTCGGTTAGAATGTACTTATTCGACCTCTTTTACAGTCTCTAGCTCAGTTGACAAAATAAGGTTTGTGCTGCTATGATTTGTTTTCCTTTGAATGGAACTCAAATTTGCTTAAATGTACGAGCATTGTTGCTCTCCAAGATTTTAGAATTTCATAATAGGCTCCATTCCAGTGCGAGATTCAGATATTTGTATGATCTGGAAATTTCGTGTATATGATTACCACGCATAGAAAATGCCATGCTTTCAAAAGTATGCAGAGTAGATGTGTCCTGCACCATATAAAAAAGCTCTAATCTTTTATTTTTTTGTGCCTGGCATATCTACATTAAACTCCTAATATTGTTTCCATGCAAAGATTAAACATATTTTTTTCCGCCGGCGCGCGCGATGGCGCGCGTCATGGACTAGAATAACTATATTTGAGTTGTGATGGGGTTTTAGATGACAAGTGAGGCTAAGAGGATGGAGGGATGGACACCTCTAGAAAAGATGATGACTCATGTTGAAACTCAACAATTTGTTTTGACCACGTAAGGCAATAAGCTAGGTAGATGCCTGGGGTCGACAGGAACTAACATGGTCTGCCTGATCACGCCGCCCAAGGACAAGAAACAGGTTTTAGTCCGTCTTTGGTGATGTTTAAGTCCATATAATAATACTTCTCTAACGGAGCGACTAGCGCCTGGACGGCGCGAGGACACGTCTAGACGTTCGCGCCGCCTGCCCCCGTGCGCTGATTTTATTCCCACCCCACACGTGCACCCATCCTGTCACAGCGTCCACGCGTCCACACGACTCGTCTCGCACGCGTAGCCCGCCCTGTCCGCCTCGATTCGAGGCCATTCACCCCGTCCCGCACACGCACCCCGCCCCGTCGCGCCCCGACCGGCGGCCCCCATTGTGCCCCGTCCGCAGGACACCGGCACGCCACGCGCCTCGTCCGCCGGCCCCTAGCTCTTCTCGCCCATTATTACCCGGCGCCTGTGCCGTGCCACTATCCCTCCCCGTGCCTCTTGATTCAGAACAACATGAAACACGCGCAACATAAAAACACTTGAATGCAACATCCGTATGAAAATAGACGAAACATCTAAAATATACACTTACAACATATGTGTGAAACATATGCAACATCAGATAAAAACACTTGCAACTTGTAACATCAAAACGCTTACTACAACATAAGACTAAAACAGCTGAAACATTTGGAACATATTGTTGTAACATATGTGTGAAACATATGCAACATCCAGATCGGAACGCTTACAACATACGTCTAGAACAGATGAAACATTTTGAACAACACATCTGAAACACTTGCAACATCCCTCTAAAACACTTGCAACATCCCCGATCTACTTTTACAACATCTATACGAAACAATTGCAACATACCTCTGAAATGTCTGAAACACTAGCATATGCTTGCAACATGCGCTTTCATTGCAACATCTCCTTGCTGACGTCGTGCGTCACGGCGTCGGCAGCAGTCACGACCTTGTGGTGGGGAACGACGGCGGTGACGGCACCCCAGCAGCACCACGACGCGTGTGGGGGACGGGACACGGCGTGTAGCAGTGGGGGCGCGGCGCGCAGCGAGCTGGAGCGGCGCATGGTTTAGGGTGCATGGCAGGGAAGACGACATCAGCCGAGCAGCAAGCGCACACGCAGCCGCACGCGATGGACGAGCACGGGAGTGAGTGGTATTTTGCCGTTTGAGAGAGAGATGGGGAGACGCAAGGAAGCAGGCCCGTTGGGCCGCGCAGGCCCAGAAAACGTCATCCGATCGGACGGAGCATTATCACTTCTCTAAAGAAGATGACTGGACAGGTAACAAGGTTTAATCTAATTTTGGTCGGCTTCAAGTCTATAGCACTTTCCTAATGAAGATGATTAAAGATAACAGGGACTTAGGTCGATCGTGAGAAGTACAAACTTAACATCAGATCCAGTAGTCCCCTAATTTTGCTCACTCATTCTTCTTTTCAGAAAACAAAATGACTAATCTGGTTCTCAGGAAACCAACCTGTCGATTCACTAATACAAGTACAGGTCGGAGTTGGAGTAGTATACCCTTCCTCTCTACATTCTGTGCCTGCCGCTGTCATTACAATTATATGTCAATACGCAGATTTGCTATCCCCTTGAATCTTGATGTGTATGCATACCTGTAGTGTATCTGTATCAACTACCTGTCAGGAACTCAGGACAGGCTCAGCTCAGCCTGCCGTGCTGCTCCCCCGACAGAAACGGAAGGAGCTCCGTCGTCTTGTTCGCAATCGCACCGCCGCAGCGGCAGGCATCACTTTCTCCGCTTCGATCTTCTCCATATCACGCCAAGGGGAAGCGTGAACATCGGGAACGGGATCTTTGGTGGTGGTATGCTGAAAAAATTGTTTATCGACCAATAAGTCAGTGGCGTTGTAGCAGTCAGAGAGCCAGACAACACTCAAACTGAAAACTGTATCTTTATCAGCGTACTGCTTGCTTTTAAACTTTTATTTAATAATGGATGAATGATCAAGCACGAAAGCTATGGCATTTGGAATTAGTGAACTAGCATAGCGACACACGAAAAGGGCTGGATTCGTCAGGGCAGGCACGGAGGCACCCTGAACGCCTTAACGAATTTCCAGAGTTGCAATGTATTCAAGTCGTCAGAGCGGGCCAACTCCATTTGGAATTTGGAAGCGCCTAGGCATAATTTATCATAAATTTCAAACCGCACGATGTCCAAGTTACCTAATCTCGATCAGAGCCCAGGAATCCAAGGATGTCATGTTTAGCAGCTGAACCAACCCATTGCACATTGCCCGCCCGTTGTTTTCTATTCTGATTTCTGAAGAAACCCGATGCATGCTAGTAGATGGTAGCCAACAAACCAAACCAACATGCTACTAGAACAGTCGAGCGACCCGATTTGTTTGCGACGTTCAAAGTGCAGACATACAGGTGGTGTGCTTACTGCAAGTTGACGGTCTCGATCTGGGTGAGCTCGGCGTTCAAGAAGCCGCCCCGCGCCGGGGCGTGCTGCCGGACGGCGAGGACCCTGCAGCCCAGGCTCCGGACTCTGCTGTACTGGCTCGGCGCCCTGCACCGTAAAGAAACAAGCGAAAGATTCAGGCAAATGGGTTGGAGGAGCAAGCTGCATGTTCAGAGTTCAGAACACGAACGAATTCATCACGAAACCCAAACAGGCCACCTCCATCGCATTCGATCGGTTTCGATCACGCGCGCTCAGGCTCACCTGTAGAGGAAGCTCTTGTCGTGGAGGCCGACGACGAGCGTGGTGGCGCCGAGCTGGTTTACCGTGGCCACCACCGTCTCCCCGAGCTCCCCCTCCGTCACCACGATCTCCACCTTGGCCTGCAACATCCGATCGATCCTCTGGGCCGTCAGCCGTATACGTCGACCACGAGACCGACGCTGAACAACAACAACAGCGGCCCTTTCGCCGCCGCTGGCGCGGGACAGCGACAGCAACATCACGCCGGCCGATTAATTGCTTTCGGTGTTCGGTGCCAAGCCCCGGCGACCGACTATCCTACCAAGTACCAACCCAAAATCCAACTGCCCGTGAATCGTGACGATCGAAAGACCAGTACGTACCTCGGCGATGCCGTTGCAGAGGTCCTTGAAGGCGAGCGCGAGCTGGAAGCCGCCGAGGCGGAGGCGGCGGCGCTTCCGGCGCGACCGCGCTGGCGGGCAGACGTGGAGCAGCGTGATGGAGTCGCTGCTGCGGATGAAGTTGCCGACGGCCCACTGCAGCGCCGACCGCGCGGCGGCCGCGTCCTCCACGACCACGACCACCCTCTGGCTCTCCATACATACAACCTCGCGCCCGCCGCCTCCGAGCTCCGGCCTCCCCTCACGATTGCTGGAGCCAACAACCTCCTCCTCCTACTCCTAGGCTCCTAGCAAGCAACCAATTTCCTTTGACGTTGTTGGCTGATTATCCATGGCGGCCGATTCCCTTTGGGACGAAATTAAGCTCCAGTCTTTCTTGGCCTCAGCACTCGTATTAGGTCAGGGATGAACTAAGCATGTTCACAAACTACACTCTACACACTAGGTGAGCAGCTTAGGCAGCTAACAGCTAATGGCGACACTGTGGAGGATTATAGCTAGAGCAGAGAGGACTGTGGCTACTGTCTAGCTAGCTAGAGTTAAGAAACGTTGATAAGGCTGGCATGCTGGCAAGGGGGCCAGACCAGAGGAGGAGGTGATAGGAGGTAGGAGGAGGTTGCAGCTGCAGCCAAGGATGGGGGGTAGGTCCCCTCTCGTCTTGTTAACTTACTGATATACAGCTGCTATTCCTAACTACTATTATACACGAATTGAGATTGAAACTGAAAGGGTGACCTGTATAATATCGCCCTGTTCGCTTGAATTTATCAGCAAGATACAGTGCTTTTCTCTCACAGCAAAACAGCATCAGCTAGCTTATCAACCGTAGAAACGATGAGCCGAACATCATGGCCACGTCATGTCAAAGCGTATTCATGGCACGGAGAGCACAATCTTACATTATTGCTTGGCTGTTACTGTTTGGAAGCTCATCATTTTGCTTCTTGTCTGTAACCTGAGCCCTGTTGGCTTATTCACTTTGGTGTTGCAGTGTGTGTGGGCATGCGTTGCGTGGCGTATGGTCCCCTTTTACTCGCCGCTGTGCACGCGACGCAACACAGTACAGTAGGGGTGTATACCAGTCACGCGAAAGAGGTTAGCAGTGGATTACGGCATCGGTTTTGGCCGGAATCTTGTTGCTTCATGTTACCAACAACAGGCAGCAAATCGCAGCTCTTTTTTGTGTGACCTTCAGCGAAAGCCAGGCCAAGAAATGGTCAGAACATCCCCTCGGTGTGATAGCGTCAGATGCGCGAGTCGTGAGACCCGGTCGGATTCGGTTTCGTCTCAATTCAAGTTTTCCTTTTCATATTTAATATATATACTAGTACTAGTAGCAGATGATAGTAAAATTATAAATAGTATATTGCAATACAATTGTAAATGGAGTATTGTAGAGTTGGCTAGTGTAGCAGTTGGTTCATTAGGTGGAGTTGCTTGAAAGAAATGTGCGTTGATGGTAGTGCCTCATGTCATGCTACAGATATAAACAAATATAAATATGCAACACATAGATGCTTGCGTTGCTACTTCTCAATAGCTTTTGTTAGATACAGTAATTGGCTTTATTTGTTTCTAGGGCTACGTTCAATTGAACTTATCAACCTGGCGATGTTTTCCTCTCACGATAAATCAGCTACTGTATCTAATATGCCTGGCTGACATCGCTGGAAAACGCTCTAAAAAAAGCACTCCCCGCTGAACAACTAAAGATCCTGTACGGCCATCAATGGGACCAATATGCCCCCATCTCTGTATTTTTTGTTTTTTTGAGGGAATCCCATCTATGTATTTTGCTTATAACTAACGGAATCCTTTACCTATAAAAAAATCGCGTTACATGAATAGGGATAATCTGGCCAAGAGACGAAAAGTAGAAGATGATAATTGTCTGTTCTGCCTAGAAAAAGAAAACATTAATCATCTCTTTTTTGATTGTGCTATAGCCAAACAGTGTTGGAAAATCATCTCAGAAGCTTTAGACTGTACTTATATTGAGAGTATGTTAGATGTAGGGAAGCTCTGGTTGAGTAACAAGAGAAACTGTGTGTTGAATATGATTACGTCTGCTGTAATTTGGTCTATTTGGAAACTTAGAAACGATCTCTGTTTTCAGAGGATTGGCTGGAGAAGCATGGAAATGCTCCTTTTCAGGATCACTGGGCTTTTACTGAACTGGATAGTTCTTTGCCCGGCCGACAAAAAGGATATGCTGATGGACTACATCAACAAGATCAAATCGGCGGCAGGCAGGATACTTTGGCTACCTTTTGTTCACCGAGACACCACCTGAAGTTTCACAAGGGTGTGACTGAAGAGGAGATCTGGGAGTATGGAAGTCTGAAGGATCTGTCGGCTGATCAGAAGATGGTGGAGTTACCATGGTGGACAACTCTGAACGAGTCGATGAACGTGGCGTGAAGCGGCTCGGTGTTCTGATGTCTGTAATGTGATGAGTGCTGTTATTTTGTTATCAGAGTGGAATTAGTGTCTTTCATAGTCCTGGCGGACACTGCTGTTGGCGTTAAACTACATGAACTGTAATAACTCGTGATCTTTTGATTTTAATTGAAAGGCCGGGGCATATGCTCTTAAACTCTAAAAAAAAATCGCGTTACATGCAACAGCTCGCATCAGCTCGGGCCATACGGCAGGTATTCGGTGTGTGTAATGGTGTTGTTATTTGTGAGAGAAAATGGAACCTTGGAACAGTAGCCAGCAGGCAAAAATAGCAACAGACCAACAGCCTACAACCATCTCTACCGATCAGTCAAGGCTTCCTCATATACTCCTACTTCTCGATTGCACCGTATTCGTGTCTTGAGTAAGACTTGCCATGTTCGCTTTGGCTGATACTGATTTGTTGTGAGAGAAAAATATTGTTAGTTGGCTGAAAAAAGTATGGCTTATAAGCCAATCGAACAGGGCGGCTGTCTCCAACGGCAAGGACGCAAATACAAGACCTATTTCATAATTTGAGTCACGTACAGGAAAAGTTCACACACCCAAAACCTTCGTTCTCCATCAGCGAACGCAAAAAAAAGACCCCAAAAAGCATGCAGCCCATATTCTCCTCTTCTTCCACCCGGTGCCGCCTGCTCCTCCGTCTTCGTCTTCCCCGCGGCCGGCCACCGAGCTGCGAGCTCCGACGCGAGATCCGGCGAGGCGCGCGGACGAGCTTTGGCAGCGTCCCCGGCGTGGCCCCCTTCGCGGCGTGGCCCCTTCGTCCGCCGCCTCGCGAGCACCGCCGCGGGCAAGCATCACCGCGGGTGAGAGCCGCCGTGCGTGAGCCGCCTCCGTCCCCACCGCAAGCGGCACCTGCGACCACCTTCCTCAACACGAGATCTGGCCGCCCTCTCCTCTCCTTGCCGCGCCGGCGGCTCCCCGCCGCGGACCCGCCTAGAAGCGCCGGTGGCTTCCCGCCGCGGGCCCACCACTACGGGCGCCAGATATTTGCGTCGTCTCTCTCGAGATACGCTTATTTGCGTTTCGGCTCGACTGGTATGCAAAATGGGTTATCTGTTTAGGTCTTCTGTTGGAGCGTATTTTTTGGTACACAAACCACTGTGAACGACCTATTTTGTGTTTGGGTTGTGCTGTTGAAAACGGTCTAAGGAGTTGCAATGCCTATTCTAGTTCTAGTACCCAAAAGAAGTCAATTCTTTTTTTTAACCAAGATTGATTCAGATGCAAAGAATGGCACCATCTCAAGTAAACAAACTAAGCGGCCCAGCTTGATTACAGTTTCAGCATCCCACAACCACAAAGCATACGCATGATGCCTGATGCATGCACGCATGATCGCGGTCACGCTAAATGACAGAGAGAGCAACAAGGATAGTAGAACCAAGAGGGCCATGCCATGGCGATTGGCATAATCAGCTTTTTTTCCTGCGCTGGTGTTTTCGTTGCTGCTGTTGTCCTGCTCCGCACGTGTGCGTGCTCGCCGCCCGCGACGGATGGTGTCATCTGCACTGCATCCATCCATGGCTGGACTGGACCACCGGAGGAACCTACCACCGACCACACACGCCATTCGTGCCCGCCACGGCCTCACTTCCTGACCTCGCTTTTCACGGTTCGGTCAGCTGGTTCCTCGCCGCTGGGCTCAGGCTGTCAGGTGCAGGCACGTCAAGTTCGGTCGTTGCTACCTACGGTGCTACGGAAGCAAATGAAAATGAGCACTAGCCTGGTCACCAACACTTGATTTCGTGCTACTGCCAAAGGCCGCACTAATATTTTGAACTTTGACCGGAGGCATGCCCAAAAGGATGATCACAACATCTTTGGTGCGTGACAAAACCAAAATAAAGGAAAAGAAGACATTTCTGCTGTTTACGTGTGCGCCGCTTGCTTTCTCGTGCCCGGCCGGTGCCGGTACTTGGTGCATGTGAACTCTCAACCCTTCGGTGGCGGCAAAAGTTGGCCGCCGAAATCCCAACGCCCCAAGTACAACAGGTACTAGTGTTGAACGGAACAGCCGAGCAGCCGTTCTATACTTCTGTTCCGAGTACTAGACAAGACCGCACCGCTAGGCCCTAGTTCGGCGGGCTCGTAGCGCCGACATTGGGCAAAGTCGGCCCCAGCCCCTGATCATTATGCTCGGAACATGGCCCTGGCAACAGGACTTGTCATGGTGTCTCTCCCTCGTCCGTTTGCAGAATCTGTGGGCATCCTACAGCAAATTCTAACCCACCCATCTCGCACCGAACATGGGTAGTGGACTAGTGGTCGCCTTATCCAACAGGCAGGCAAGCAGCACCCGTTCCTGTGGGGCAGAGGTCAGCACACCATTGATGAACCAACTCAGCGCCACTCCACTCCAACCAACCATTAAGATACCAACCCTACAGGCCGAATGAATATCATAGCTTACCAAAGAGGAAAGAACTAATAACCCATGGACCCAAACTTACTAGCATACTGCATCATTGCATTCAACAAGAGCTCTGAATTCTTCAGGGGTTAAAAGCTACAGCGAAAAGAAGAAATACCTGTTATACTGAAAGCAGCATCTCATCACAAGCTAATAAAGATGAACTGCAACAGCACAAATCTTTCTGTTCATGATACAGTTGAAAACTTAAGATAAGCGGTAAAATTTTCAAAGTTACACTACCACCAATACAAAACAGATAACACGTCTAAACTTTGTGAAAGGAAAAAGTTACTGAGCTAGGCCCGGCGTTGCATGCCTGCATCGAGATCGGCCTATACAACTAAATCCCAAGCGCACGGTATGCACATCAAGGGCCACAAGCTTATACCTATCAAGCATCAGCTGCTCATCTACTCGTAACTCTCCTACAGAACACAGGTGTGCCACGTCAATGACCAAAAGCTACAGGCCTTGTCTGGACAAAGGAACACCCAAGTGACATGGTGATAAGTTCCATTTATTTGTTGAATAGTAAGGGATGCATCATGCATGTGGTAAACAACTACGACACTCGCAAGTATGGTTGCCAGCACATTTCTGCTATAATCAATCTCTCCCATAGCCCCGGTGAGGATACGAATTTCCAGGGCCACCTGTCCCTGTGTTTCCATAGCCACCCGTCCCTGTGTTTCCATAGCCTCTGCCACCATAATACGAACCACGGGAACGCCCACCACCACGGTAACCTCGGGCGCCACCGCGATAAGGCTGCCTGTGCCTTGGAAATTCGCCAAACGTCTGCACACCAATAACAATGAGTAAAGCAGTAACAGTGGAAACTCAAGAATAAAGGTGGTTCCTGTACCTCTGTGTCTACTCTACGCCGTTCAGAAGGTCTGCCCCTTCCATTTGGCCCTCCACGTCCAAATGTTCCACTAGAGAGGGAATCAAAAAAGTCGTCCTTGACATAAACAGGCTGCATTAAGGTCAAGACAAATTAAGATTCCTTGCAAAGAAAAAACCATCAACATGTCTGAAACAATGATAAAAGAGCATCAAACCTTAACAGTTAGCTCTGGGTTGTCAGTTTGCTCAACCTCCAGGTCTTCATCAAACACATCATCTCCCACCTCACCATCCTTGTCCCTTGACTGGGATTTCTTTCCAAGATGACCCCAGACTTCATCTTTGTTAAACTTCTCATTCATGGCCGTGAAATCAAATTCTTCAGTGAATGCTGTTACAGACTGTGAAAACTGCAAAGCAAGACACAAACATGAACAAATCTGACATTTAACTATTTAGTATTTAACAACAAATCATATTCAATCCGAGCATCATTTTCCAAGGTATACAAATACACCCACCATTGCATTTTACAAAGCATAGTTTGACATGGCACGGTCTCCCAAATGACAAATCTAACCATTCATTTGTTTCATATATTATACCTTTTATGATTATAAACTTATGATCATTGGATAGTACATTGGATTACAAATCTAACCGTATCAAGTTTTTATTACAATCGTTAAAAATTGTTGGCGAAGTTATTAGTCAAAAGACTGAAGTTTGAACATTGATATCCATGTGCACCTTATCAACTGGACTGGAGGGAGTAAACCCCAGATATGATGCAAGAGGCACTTGCACAAGAAATATCTGAAAGTACACTCTAAAAGGTTTGTAGAGTTTGTCCTTTTTTCTGGGAGAACGCGCGGGGGGGGGGGGGCATAGAGTTTGTCCTTGAGTATCTTTGACCCAGAATGTACCCAGTGCAGAGAGCTCCCGATCTGTGCGGGGTCTGGGGAAGGATGTCAGTGGCAAGCCTTACTCTCGCCTGTGCAATGCGAGGAGACCGCGACTCGAACCCGGGACCTTCCGGTCACAGGCGGTAAGACTTTACCGCTTGCACCAGGCCCGCCCTTCAAAAGGGTGCACAAATTCTGTACACAGTCAAAGGCAGAGCCTCCTACCATATGCTACAAGAAAAACTTGGTATATGGGCATAGGGATCACAAACCACAGCGTAGGAGTAATAGTCACATCCTACAAGTCCTCTAAGAGACAACAGCTCACCCAAAGCGCACATGCTTAGGTACACACTGATGGGGTCAGTGTGCCACTTATCACGAGTCAAAGGTGACATTTTCCAACTCACAAATTGTTTGTAGTGTTACTCGCTTACCAAGCAATTTCACAATAGCTTGCCCGAAAGACCTTTTATGTGCATTGTACATTGTGAGATGTGTGAACTCACTAACAAACTAATAAAGTGAAGCAGGAAACCACTTCAATGTTTTATAGTACACATGCTTTTCTGTTGATACAAATATCAAAGGATGCACAAGGCTCACACAGCTAAATTGTACTCCCTCCTTGTTCCAAATTGTAAGTCGTTCTGGCGTTTCTAATACATATCTTTTATTATGTATCTAGATAGACATAATGGATAGGTGCGAACCAAAAGCTATGTATCTAGAAAAGCCAGGACGACTTACAATTTGGAATGGAGGGAGTTCATATTAAGTTGTTAACAACAAATTATAATTATCAAATCATAAAATGATTATAGTTGTCATATTTGTCAAACTTCATGCTTTAGAGTTGACAAAAACAAAATAAAGCTGCATAGGATCGTCTGAACATTATCTCTTCTAAAAATAACATAGAATAATTACATTCAGACAAGTAGTGAAGAGGAAAAGGTAGGGACGTGGACCATGAGATAAGGTTAAATTAGCATTCCTTGTCATTAAATATGATCAAATAAGAAAAAAAAAAAAAAAAGTGGATTGTATCAACATACCGCACTCCCTCTGCCCCTTCCACGGCCCCTAAAGTTGTGATGGTTGTGCGAACCAGATCCATTGTACTGAAATCAAAATGAGGCACAACTTAATGAATCCATGATAAAACATATACTAAATAAAAGCAAAGACAAATATGGGATAAGCAAGAACTTTCTTCAAAGGAGACATGAAGCATTAATTTCACTACATGGTATTTCAAAATCAAAAGCAAGAAAAGGTATGAAAGAAAGAAAGGGAAACTAATCATTCACTAAAAAGCATCATGGCTAATGAGGTGTATGAAATCGGCAAAAAATAATAATCCATGCTATGTTGCATAGTTTTTGGAAACCTGCAACTTTACCTTATCTTGTAGATTAACTTTCAGTTGATCATATAGTTAAAATATTTGTACGTTTATATATATATCAACCAAAAAGATTCTAGTATGTTACTGGTTTTCATTAGATTAAGTCAGAACAAAAAGAAAGTAATGACCAGCAGAATAATTTTCGTAGTTCACAAATTCAAACTTAAAAGGATTGTGGCTCTAGGTTCACCAGGTCATCGAGAATAACTCCAAATCAAAACATGTACTGAAACATCTGCTTATGGTTAAAAACTAACAACTGTTTTCAGTTGAAAAATCTCTCCTTTGCCTCTGCAAGCACAAAGACGTGAGTAGAAAAGCACATACCTTCTGAGGTGTCTGTTTCGGCAATGGTAATATAGGCTCCTTACTTTCAGGCAGAGCCCGTGATGGTGGATCTGGTAGCAAAGGGTCAGGTAGTGACGGTTCTGCAACCTTAGCCTTAGGCTCAGCTGGCTTGACTTCTTTGCTAGCCACCTGTAATGGTGCCTGCATGGAGTGCGATGATGAAAGCATGGATGATGTGTTCTGCAATAGTTGACCTGATAGTGCCAACAAAGGCACAGGCATCTCCACTTGGGCTGAGCTAGATGGGGTAACAGTTGAAGAAACAGACTGAGATACAGTTTGGTATGCCAATGTTGAGCCTGGAAGAGCAGTAGCCTTGTTGCTACCAAATGAAGTTAAGTTCTGCGACACTGTTGCACTAGTTTCAGCCACGGAAGTTGGCTGGCTTGGAAAAGGAAAAGTTGCACCAAGAGATGTTGCAGGAGTAGTAAACAATGATCCCATGTTCGGCAACAGAGGCTTTGAGCTTTCTGGAGCTAATAAGGTAGCAGAAGCAGGAGCTGTTGTAGCAGGCAGGATACCTGACGAAGGACCTTGACTAGTAATAGGTGGCATCAATGAGGGTTGGAGTTCTGACAGCTTTTGCGGCCCAGATGGCAAAGAAAGATTTAGTCCTGGATATTGGAAATTCTGGGGAACAGCCAATCCTGGTGTTGGCTGAAGCAAAGGAGGTTGCTGCAAATGAGGTGGCAGCCCACTTGAAGGTGCATAGTATCCTTGCCAGTACATTGAGGGAACTGAAAGTGTTGAAGTATTTCCTGCTGGAGGCGCCACTGAAGAGCCCCATGGAGCATTTCCTGCAGGAGGTGCCACTGAAGAGCCCCACGGAGCATTCCCTGGTTGGTATAGAGGAAGGTTACTCTGAAAAGTTGGCCTCTGAAGCCCGTATTGAACTGCCTGGAAGCTGAGGTCTGGTAAAACTGCACCCCCAGCTGAAGGCAAACTTGACGAAGTTGATGCTGGTTGAGAATAATGTGACTGCAGAACAGTGTTTGCGAGCTAAGCAGCCATGAAGGGACAGAGAACAGTTTATCTATTTTATACTGGTATATGGCGGTACCTGGATTATGGCAGGATCGTTGTGCAGGGAAGCAGCTTGTGGTGGTGGCGGCGGTGGTGGTGATGACTTAACTTGCAAATCCTGCAGAATTATTGAAACCCAGGTAAATTATAATGTTAAATAAATCAAAAAATGGCAGGCAGTTTAAAAGAGGAAACTGTAAAAGTATACATATATACATATTCAAATATGCGCACTGAAAACATGACATGGATCCATTCATGCATCAAAATACATAAGGCAAAATAATCAATGGATGCCATAAAGTTTAGAGAAGGAAATTACAAATAGAGATTTTAAATAAGTACATGACAACATGGCACATATGCATTTATGGATTCCACACATATTGAACTAAAATATTCAGAACTAACTACCACATAGCTAATATTAATTGTCTGCTTATTGTACTAAGTTGGATACATATGAAATATAAATAAACATATACAGAGTCCTCAAAAACAAGTTGAGGTAGGTTAGAGAGGAAACATAACAACAGACAACAAAGAGTGCATGCTACAAAAAAAAAAATAGAATTAGCAATAGGAAAATAGGAAAAGATAAATTTCCTAGGTCGTTTTGGCACATGGTAAATGCAAGAGGATGTAAGTATGAAAGACAAACAAATACATAAGTGTGTCCCTGTGGGCAATATTACTGTAGGCAGGCAACCAATTCAAGCAGCATGTTCTTAGTGACTTTACAGCAAATCAGCAATCTTATATTCTAATAATTTTAATGACACAAACACAGGAAAATAATGCAAATACAATAATTAGTGAAATAGAAACATGGACACCACGTGTGGGTTTGGCTTAGTTTGGTGAGAACATAATTCCACTATTGCTTTTGCATCCATTGGGCCCTCAAACTGATGGGCCAAAATGCATAATAATTGAAACACAGAATGTATTGGTCATTAAGCAGAGACCAGGCACCCGCATGACAGAACCATCAACAGTGTGCATTGAATAACACTCAATTGGCGACACTGAAAATAACATCACATCTGGAGCCCCGTAGATGGCTCCGCATACCTTGATATCAGTTCCCCGAAAGAGGATGTACTCGTAAACTTTGTCGCTAGCAGGAATCTGCATTCCGTCTTTCTTCCGCCCTTCGGTCCCAAAGGACCGCACTACAAAACAAGGAATTGACAGATGTAGATCATAACAGCAGCATCTGAAGTAAAGCAATAGCTAAGGCCTAAGGCGCACACGGCACACGTCTCAGTTTGAAAACTGAAGTTTAACTGATTCAGGCATGAAAGGACATAACAGACGCAACAATAACTGGTGACAAATCGAGTCGAGGAGCAAGTGAGGTGGGTAAAATAGTTCCACCATACAACACTGGAAAAATTCGAATTCCCCTTAATCCCTGAGACCCTGACATTGGTAGGAGGACAAGGATTCGCCTCGCCAGGCGAACCAGAGTGCTGCAAATCTAGGTCTAGAACAGTCGCATCTGAGGAAAATGGCAGCAGTGGGTGCGGAGCGAGCGCCCTGGAGAAGGGAAAGCAATTACCATTGCGCAGGCCGATGCTGGACTCCTCGGTGTTGATGTTGTAGAGGACGCCCTCGTACCTGATCTCGCTCTTGGAGGTCAGGCTGATGAGGCTCCCGATGTACGACTCGGCGGACCCGGCCGCCCCGCCGCCGGAGCCAGAGGCGGCCGCGGCAGGCGGCCGCTGGGCCGAGGAGGAGGAGGACGAAGACGCCGACGGTGGCGCTTCCGCAGCCATGGCCGCCGCGGGATCCCGGGTCGAGCGAGGCTAGGGCTAGGGATGCGAGGTGGTGCTGGCCGAGAGGGAGAGGGGGGAGGAGGACGAAACCCTAGCAAGCGGCCGGTCAGATGCTCAGATCCCGTTGGTGCGCTCGCTCTCCTTGCTGCTCTCTATTAAAACGGGCTCGGGTGGGATGGATATGGATATGGGCGAGGTGATGTGGAGAGGCGAAGGGGCGGTTTGTTTGCGTCCGACCGGATTAGGGGCCCAGTCTGCGAATTTCTTATGCCCAAGATGATGATGGTCCGATCCATTGTGCCAGCAAAGCCCGGCAGCAGAAATGAACGAGCAGGCGTGCAGCGGTGCAGTTAGGAATTTTCCCCATTGTCAGTATCAACGTCATATTTCCAATGTCGAGGACTCAATTCGTTCTATTTCTTTCTGCTTGGTCGGTCATAAAAATCAAGGGAAAATTCAAACCTTCGAAAGTCCTCGTTCAATAATCAAACCTTCCAAAGTTTATACATGAGTTCCTTTGGATCAACATTAATAACTAAGGTGCTGTTTGTTTCAACAACAAGGCGGTAACGTTGGTGGGAACAGCTACGCATGTTATCTTTTACGATGCAACGATCGGCACCTTTTGTTTGTTTGCGGACTGTAGAGCTAAGAGGAGTGGAAAAGCGGGGTGGAATTGAATGACATCGGAAAGGCACGGCTTCACACTAGCCCGTATCGTATATGTCGTGATCGAATACGGTCTAGTCCAACCAAACGTAAAGTAACGCTAACAGACAGCCCTGTGAATTTATTACAGACTTAAAACGCTAAACCAAACAGCACTTTAGATAAATAAATGTAGAAAGAGGTAAAAGCATGAGCATAAAAAAGGTATTATGGGCGCAGTAGGTTGCCATTAGTACTTTGCCTAGCCTTGTCTAGCCCTATATATCCGAATAACAAAAAAAACTTACTCAAACAGGTAAGTTATTTTTGCTTTCTCGTACAAGCAAAGAAAAACTCGCTTACACGGGTTTCAGTGCGCTCCAGCAAAGGAAGGGACGTTTGGAAAGTTTGCTAAGTACTATGCAGCCTTACCCAGCGAGATTGTACAGTAGTGTTGTGTGTTTGGTTGTTTTAGCGAGCTCTATCGGGGCTTGTGCTGGCAAGAAAATCCTCGCTAGCCTAGGCTAGCCAATCTGGCTCGCCCCGCCTGGCAAGGCTTGCCTTGCCCAATGAGGTAAGGCGAAGCAAGCTAGCATTGGAACCAAACGCCCCATAAACACACAATCTTGCTCGAAATCTTCGCTTAGCTAGGCACCGCAGTGACTAGCAAAAGGATCAAACATACCCTAGCGTGCTGGGTTGGATGAAATAAGCAACTAAGCCTACAATATGAGAATAGTGAGACTCTCGCTGAGCGGGCTAAGAAAAAGGCTTAATAAGATGAGTGAGGAAGAAAAAGTGTAGTTCATTTGGAACTGATTCTAAGAATCGTTATTAGATGCTTCTGCACGTTGAATCAATCGATCGTCGGTCACACTACAAGTTTTAAAAATGCCCTTGTTTACTAAGGTTTCTTTTCACTCTGAACTTGAAATTTCAAACCTCTGCTCAACCTTCAAACTTTGTGCCTCTTTTCTCCTAGATGTAAAATGGGAATGTTGGTTTTGGGTAGATGAGTAAGGCCTTGTTTGGAAATGATCTTGTCTACCGCGTGATGCAGTAACGGAGCCACGGCTTCGCGATGACAGAGTCACGGGTTGTAGCGGTAATCGTTGGCATCACAGACCGTTTGGAGCAATTCTTGGTGATTCTTGCAGGCAGCCATCGATAATGGGACCTAAAGCACATGCTCTAGAAAAAAGTAGCAAAAACTCCAAGGCAATTGCAAGCATGTTGACAAGCAACGTGTGTTCCTCGTATGTTGTATGGAACTATGGAAGGATCTTAGCAAAACAAAAATGAAAATTAAGTGGAAAGCATGTCCCACGGATGGGGCATGGTTGCTTGCTTCCTGGACAGAGACACAGAGTTGGCTGGTGCTATGATTGTGAGTAATCCTAGACATTGGATTTCAACTGCCTTGGAAGTTGGAACATACTTGCAGTCGCAGGGTTGCAAGCCAGTAGCTCCATATCGCGCCTCAAAACATATATGGGATAAAATTGCAATAGCTAAGTATTTGCATTGAATAGTGCTTTTGCATGTGTTACTACTCCAAATTTTGTGCTCCACATCTCAACCTCGCTAGTGACTTCCACACCCATGAGATTGAGAGATCACACTATCAATGACGGGGGTTTCCTAACAGCTAAAAATTGTCAGGATTGGCTAAAAAATGTTAGTATTCCTGACGATGGGCCCTTTTTTAGATACATTGTTTTATTTGTGCATCTAGATATACGCTATGACTAAATACATGGGCTTTAGTAGAACGATTTACAATTTAGAACAGAGCTTCTTTGTTTACTTTTTCTTTATCAAGATATTGGCTTTGCGAATGCAGAAACCACATGTCTATATTTTTTGTCTGATTGTAGGTTTCATCCTCAGGCATGATGGTTCAAGTTTTCCATATGAAAAATTAGGCATCTATAAGTTTCCATGTCCATCGGCACAGAAAAAAATGTCCATCGATTCTGGATGTTTTTACCACGATAGTTTATTTATCAAATCTGCAATAGGTTAATAAGAAAATATATGTGTGGTACACCAAGGTTTGCCTATGTTTTGCTTACCAACACGAAATATAGCTGATTGGCACCTGCTCTTCCATTCCTTTTTTTTCTTTTCTTTTGTCAATTAATCTCCAATGAAAATACTCCTAATCAGTCACTAAATTGTAAGAAACGGAAATTGTATACTGTACTCCTATGTTCCCACTCCTGCGGTCATGCCTAACAGTGTGTGCTGTGCGAGGCCTAAGCGCCCGTTTGGTAGTTATGGCTTCACCTGTAGAGCAGATTCAGTCAGTTTTTTAGACCGTTTGGCAAAACAGCTTCACGTAGTACATAAAAATAATGAAATGACTATATTGCCCTCTTCTCTTTTTTTTCTTTTTTTCCTCTCCTATTTTTGTTCCTTATTAGTTCCCTTCTCTCTACTTATCCTCGCACACGGTCGCACGGATGGCTTGGCCTTCTCCATAGCGATCTTCTTCTTTTTTCTTTTTTTTCATTCTTATTTTTCTCATGTTCCTCTTCCTATTCCAATTCTCTCTCCTTATCTCTTCACCGCACGCAAGACACGCAAGCACAATGCCTCCTTGTATTCTCTGATTTCTCTCTCCTTATCTCTTGTGAACCTCTCCCTTCTTCCCTCACCTTCCAACGCAAGGAGCACGATGGCGGGCTTCGACCGCGAGCATAGAGGAGGCCTCGCCTGTGCTCCGCCTCGCCGTTGTGGCCCGTGCCCGTGGTCTGCATCTCTGTCTCGCTCGCGTCCTGCATCTCTGTAAGTGCATCTAGCCCTTTAGTGGGTTTTGGTGAATTGAATGACAACACCATTAAAGGTCTAACAAGTTTGTTAAGTGTTGAACAGGAAATTGAGTTTATTGCATACACTTGTGAATTGTGAAATGAGAAGTGTATATAGGTTCAACAAGAAGGCAAACTTGATGATATGCCACATAGTGTTGAAATGAAGGCCAAATTGTATATTGTTATATTGAAAGATTATGGAAACAATTTAGTTCAAGCAAAAGACAATAATGCAAATGGGATCAATGAAATGGCTTCTATAGTGTGGGATATCATAGTATCATGAGAAAGCAAGCATATTTGGTAAATGGTAAATGAGACATGAGTTGATGATTTTGGATTGGTCTCTATAATGGCTTGCTTTGCATGAACAAGAAGAGTTGGATAGTGGACTAGCTTTGATCAAGGGTTGAAGAATGAATCAAGAGTGCATAAGTGAGGAAATATCCAGCAAAGGTGAAATAACAAAGGAGACAATATATAATGGATATAAGATGCTCTCTACATTGGTTTGCTTATATAGATAAAGATTTAGAAAATCAATTTGCATTAATATGATCGAAATTGGAAAAATAAAGATAGAGATTGAAGTGAGTGTTAGGAGTGTCAAGCCAAAATAAAGAGGATATAAGAAATCGTAAATTGGCTTGACCATATTGATGTTGATCCATATATGTCTCTATGTGAGTCAAACTGAAGCTTCATTGATCTCAACATTCATATCTAGAAGATATTCAAGCAAGGATCACAATAATTAAGAAATGATTTTTCAATGGATGATTAATACGATGTGACTTGAGTATGACTTTATAAGGTGAAGATAGCAAGGAAAGAGCTTCGAGGGACTAAGCGGAGGTGAAGGGCAAGCGATGGCTTGAGGACCGAGGTACCATGGCTAAGGTAAAAAAGAGAGTACTTATATTGAGTCGAGAAACTAATCAAGTTATGAGGAGTCAAATTGTGTTGAGTATCAAATCATTAGTGAAAGTGACTTAAAGCCATTGAGGTGAACTCATATATATGGAAATGATATTGAGAAGAAATGGTATATGAAAACATTGAAGACTCAAGTGGTTGAAATGGTTATATTCTCTTGATCTTAAGTACAAGTATGCCGTACTATCAAGGGGGATGCAATACGAATCATAGACAAGTCTCAAGTGCTCAAACTAACCAAACCCAAGTGCTAACATGAGAGAAATACATTAGCACAACACTTGCACTTGTTGATCTTGGTACTTGTTCTTGGTTGGGCTGGATAGCCCTCGAAACAAGCTTTCCGAAAAGTCTAAGATCACTGAAAACGGAGTTTAGAGTAAAAAGTTATGGCATTTTCTGTAAGGTGATCTGTGCTGTTTTTCACAGCTACGGCAGTGCCACGAACTTTTGCAGCAGTGCCACACCTGTCCAGGTCATAACGGCTAGTTTTTGAACTGCAACGGCTAATTTTGTGATTGGGTCTATATATACCCATCCCACGTCTCCTGGTGAGGCTGTTGATGCTCCAAACATTCCAAGCCATTTGAGAGCTCTCTCTAACCTCTCTCTCTTTGTGAGAGTGGGTGATTAGTGATTGATTAAGTGTTAGAGAGCAATTAAGAGCAAGCCAATCCTTGAGCACTTGTTGGGCTGCGTCAAATATTCGTTGCGCATTTGTTACGCTTGGAGGGGAAGCCTCCTAGACGGCTAGGCGTCACTCGGCGAGCTCCTGTGCTTGTGGTGAGCCACGAGAAAGTTTATAATCACCCCATTGATCTAGTGGAAACCCCTCATCTTAAGAGTTCACTCTCTTGACTTGAGAACGAGGATAAGGGTTGCAAAGTCCAAGCCTTAGTGGCTGCCTCAACAACGTGGACATAGGCAAGCCTTGGTGGCGAGCTGAACCACGGGATAAATCGAGTGTCTTCTCTCTTGTGTTGATTTGCATTATCTGTGTTCCACTCGATCCACTTGGTTGTGCGTGTTTGTGAGTGTAGGTACTTAGTGGACTTGCCACAGGATATCTCCACACTTATCTCCAAATTTGAGTTCTATGCGCAGCTTGTGTTGAGCTATCTGTAAGGGCGCGACAGTGCTGCATTTTGAGTGAGGCAGTGCTACAGTGCGACAGTGCTGCAGCATTAGAGCAGCAGTGTCGCGCACTTTACTAATCCGTTGTAAGTTTTATTTATTGTTAATTTTCAGAAACGCCTGTTGACCCTCTTTAAGCGACTTGAAGGTCCTTTCAATCTCCATCTCGCCCGCATTCCGCATCGCTGTGTTGCGCTCACGGTCTGCATCGCCGGCACGCCCGCAACCGCACCTTGCCTCGTCGTCGCACCCGCGCCGAGTCAAAAGGGTTCGGGCCCGCATGGTGTCAGAGGGAGCAGTGGGGAGCCGCTATTTTTAGGCCCCGTTTGGTACATATTCTTGGCCGGCTCCTGAATTCGTTTTTTGGCTCCACTTGCCAAACGCCTCTGACCTGCTCAGATCTTAGGAAGAAGCCTTGGAATTCTTGCTGAGACAAGGGAGGAGAGAGAGTAGGAGTTGAAATTTGTGGCTTCTTCCGGCTTCCTCTAGCGGTAGCGGGCCCCATCGTGGCCATGTGTCTCCTTTGCCCCGGCGCGTCTGCGAGGGCGGCGGCGGTGCGTCTGCTGGACACCGGCGCCGGATCCGCTGGAATCGGGAGCGGGGCCCCGCCCAGGTAGCGCGAGGCGGCGGTGTTGGTGAGGCGCACAGCCGTAGAGGTTGTGGGGCGCGCGGGCGGCGAGATGCGGGGGCAGGGCTAGGGTGATGTGCGCTGCTCGGGAGGCACCAGGAGCCGTGGCCTCGACACGGGGAGGCGCGACGAAGTCGACGCACAGGGAAGAGGAACAGGGGAGCAACGACCTACGCGAGGCCTATCCGTGTGCAGGGTGATAAGGTAGAGATAAGGTAGTGAGAAAAAGAATAAATAAAAAGAAATAAAAGGAGAGAGAAAAAAAAACGGGTACTCTGGATATTTCATCCCTTTTCATCGTAAGGAGAAGTTGTTTTGTTAAACGGTCTAAAAAACAGATTCAGCTCCTCATGTGAATCTGTTTTACAAGTGAAGCCATAACTAAAACTGTTTTGGCTGGAGCCGGAGCTCTACCAAACGGACCCTTAGCTTCACCGTGCGTGAACGGGTTTCTCGGAGCTTCATGCGAAGAGCACTTTGCTTTTCACCCGTTTGATAGAGAAAGAGGTAAAATGGCTCGAGGAGCTGCTGGAGAATCCATACCAAACGCCCTCTAAATAAAATGTAGAATTTCGTTATTGTCAGGTTTGATATGTTGAGGACGTCAGGTTGTGTATATCATTGGACTGGACGACTGGTGGAGGTGGCACCTGGCAGACAGGCACCTGGCACAGACCGGGTGGTAGTAGAGAATCCCGAGCCCCGGCAAATGAACCTGATTGGGCACCTTATCCACACAACCGGCTCGTCAGTCGTCACCACACTTTGCAAAATGCGCGGCATGCCATGCCATTGCCAGCCTCAGCAAAGCAAACAATGTCGCAGCGAATCCTCAACACCGCCAAGCAGACGCCAGCACCGACGCAGCGGCACCACCCTTCGCCGCCACAGCCGCCGCCTAAGCTCGGCCGCCGCGCCGCCGCCGCAGCGGCCATCGCCATCGCGGCCGCGCCGGCGCTCCTGAGCGTCTCGCCGGCGTCGTCCAAGGCGCAGGAAGCCGAAGCCGCTGCCGAGGCAGCGCCGCCGTGCCTCGCGGAGCTGCCCGTCACCGCGAAGGCCTTCCTGGACGTGTCCATCGGCGGCGAGCCCGCGGGGCGCATCACGGTGGGCCTGTTCGGGGACGCGGCCCCGGCGGGCGCGTCCCGGTTCCTGTCCCTGGTGACGGGCGTGGGGTACCGGCGCAAGGAGTTCGTGAAGATCGTGCCGGGCTACGTGCAGCACAGCGGCGTGGTGTCGTACCCAGCCATCCCCGCGGTGACGGACCGGCTGGCGGCCGAGGCCGAGGCGGTGCGCGCGCGGTGCGGGGCCGGGGCCGTGCACGCAGCGGCCGGCGCGGTGTCGATCGTGGTGCGGGACCCGAGCCTGCCGCCGCCGAAGCCGAAGCTGGTGGCCAGGGGCGGGAAGCTGGAGGTGGAGGAAGAGCAGGCCGGCGTGGTGCCTAACGGCACCGAGTTCGTGGTCACCACCGAGGCGGCCCCCGAGCTGGACGCGTCGGCGGTGCTGGTCGGGAGGGTGCTGGATGGCATGGACGTCGTGGCCAAGATCGCCGCCGTGCCCACCGTCAGGGACAACACCGGCTCGCCGTACTTCAGGTCGTTTGTTTTCCCATTGCCGCTTCAATGCTCTCTCGGAACCATTAATCCTACTGGAGGTAGCTCCGGCGACTGATGTGTGAATACGAATGTTTGCAGAGTGGCCAAGCTGATCGGCGACAAGAGAGCAGTTGTTGCAGAGCGAGGCTTCAACCGCCCGTACACCAAGATCTTAGTCACCAACTGTGGTGTGCTCAGTTGAGTCGGCAGTAGAGTGCTCCGTCTGAACTCTGAAGGAAGAATTTTGAAGGATTTGATCGTGACCATCATACTTTTTGCCTTTTTGGTAGAGAGTGATGATTTGCCTGAGGCACGCACGTACTTGCGGGTGCACGAATTCATTTCTCAAAAGTGATCGATATCGATATATAAAAGCTCCAAGCTTTTTTATATATGGTTTGTGCATCAGCCATGCACTTATCACCAGCTCCACTTAGTACCTGTACCATGTCCTCTATTTAGACATTTGTGCGTTCGAAATTTGTCTAGCGCAACAAGTGAACGATCTCCGACGCGATGCCCAGCTTCTCCCCGGTGTCCCGGTTCACCTGCTCCAGCGGCGACACGATCTCCTGCGCGTGGAAGAGGCGCTGGCACTTCTCCGGGAACACGCGCAGCGCGCTCACAGCGTCGGCCACGCGGTCGTCGTACGCCGGCATGTGGGTCACCCTGGCCAGCGCGTGCGCCGCGGCGTGGAGGCAGTCCTTGTACAGCGCCGCGCACCTCGCCACCAGGCGGCCCGCCGGCGACGGCGTCCCTCGCCGCGCCCCGTAGCTGAGGTCCCACGCGCGCAGCCTACCGCGGAGCGCCGATCTCCTGGCGCCCCTCAGCGCGATGATGGCGAGATCCCGGACCGTCGTGGCGCTGCGGCTCCGGTTGCTGGACTCGAGCAGGGATACGCAGAGGCGCTGGTTCGACGTCCTGCCGCAGGTCTGGGCGACCAGGGGCGTGCTGGCGGATGATCCGGGGAGGAAGGAGGCGGGGGCGGCGATGCAGAGCAGAGCGCCGAGGAGGACCTTGTGGTTTCCTGGTGATGTTCTGCTCGTTGAAGCCGCCATTGCCGTGGTGGAGCTGAAGTGACCCGGGATGTGTGTGCGATCACTCTTGTATGTGCGTACGTCCTGCACTTATATAGTTGTACATATATACGATCAAGAAGCATGGGACCTCATCGAACTTAAGTGTCATTGATCGTAGTGAATGTTAATTACTTTAACGCACATCAAAATCAATAAGTATGACATCATTAAGTTGAACTATAGATGAGAATAGTTTTTCCATCTATCTAGACTTTAAGAATCGGAGGTTATAGGCCAAGAATGCACTCTTAGCTAATACAGTTACATTGGCATAAGTATGTATTTCAACGTTTCATCGCTAGATATATTGCGTTTACATTAGCAAAAACAATAAGTGTGGTCATATATTTTTCTAACAAAACAAAACAAAAATGTTGTAATGTTTAAATGTTTAAGGCAATGATACTTCTATCCCCTAATAATAACGAAGAGCCAAAATTTCTATCATACATTTTTCCTGCCTCTTCCTCCCGTATTCTTGTATATTTTTTCCGTTCCATTCCAGGTTCTATCCGTATTTAGTATTTAGCCGTTCTTTTTTCCCGTTCCAGTCTGAGTCTGCGTACCGTGCGAGAAATCAGGCCCAAACAAAAATGTTCCACTCCAATCCGAGTGTGCATTGCCTGTGAGAAATCCAGCGCCCCCCCCCCACCCCCCACCCCCACCAAAAAATGCCGCCCCCGGCTTCTCTTGCTAGTCTCAGTATAGGCCGGCTTTGCCCAACATTAATGAGACTTTTGCCTAACATTAATTAATTAAAACATATTATATAGAGAAGAAAAAAAGAGTTGTCGGCTTCCCTTGATAGCTAGCCCAACATTAATTAATAATATATTATACAGAGAAAAAAAGAGTTGTCAATCGAATTCTAGAGAGAGATTGAGTCTCGTACACCTCCTATCATCTAACGGGGTAGCTCAACAATGGTTCATGCGCCTCACACAGGACACAACAATCACAGACTGGGACTACTATTCGCTGGGTTGCGTCAACAAACGTTTTGGACCACCAATAATATGCAATTTGTTCAGAGAATTGGCATCCCTATGAAAGACCGTCATTGTCTATGAGTACACAGAGTGCTTCCTGGTGCATTTAGCTCGCGCCGGCGCACTCGATGAGCAACAACAAGTCAACATCTACACCGCAGGACGACTGCTTGAACCTCTAAAGACAGATGTGGAGCTCCAAAAACCTCACGACATGGAGATGACTATGTCCTTAGCACGGGCTTATGAACAAAGGGCAGCTGTTGTCGCCGACTCCAACAAATCGACAACAACATTGCGGCCATCAACACGTCCCTCCCTTCCACCCAAGGCACCGCAACTAGCCACTAGCCCTACAACACCAACAACACCAGCGACAGCGTCATCAACACCAGCCACGCCACCTTGGCCCTTCAAGAGACTCACCCCGGAGGAGATGACAGAACACAAATGTATGGGTCTATTTTTCAACTGCGATGAGCAATTCACCAGGGGACACAAATGCAAACAACTATTCGACGTCACTCTCATCAATCTCAACGAGGAGGAGGCCAGCATAATGATGATGATTGGTGCCCAAAGCTCTGGAGTTCCTGGCTAGTGCACCATGATCCTACACGACATCCTACTTGGTCAGCGCGTATGAATCCTAGTCGACAACGGCGCTACCCACAACATCATAGATATCAACCTCGCCAGACTACACAACAGTGCTGGTGGGTAACGGAACAGAAAATTGCCTACACTAGCTTCTCTTTCGATGTCCCCCTATGCATGGACACAGAGACATTCCACATCGACGCTCTTCTGCTGAACATTGGCAATGGCATTGATATCATGTTGGGTACACCATGGTTGACTGACATTGGCATCATAACATGGAACTTCGAATCGATAGAAATGCAATTCCAAAGGAACGACCGCACCATCAAACTCTCAGGAATCCAGAACCCACATGAACGTCGAATCGTCCTTGCCTTACCTGCACCGGTGCCCATACAACCATTACCAGTGCAAGGCGGACAACAACAACAGCCACACTACAACATGCTTCTAACCTCAACACCATGGCAACCAAATGCATTGGATAGAATCAGTAGCCAATCAGTCATCTTTGATTAACTCCGTCAAGAGATCCTACAAATACCAGAGCTCAGAAGAATAGCCCTCACCATCATCAATAGGGAGGACACCCACAGCATGGTCCTTGAATCGGGGACTGCTAATCTTTTAAGGACAATTCTACATTCCAGCCTCATCATCCTTGCTACCCAATTTATGGGACACATTGCTACTATGCGGCCACGTCGAGAACCTACAACTACTAGCAATCAACTTCCACACCCCGCCTTGACATCAGCTACAACCTTCAGCTTTCCATCAGACATCCTCATGGACCGATAATGGCCTCAAGGCATTATGCCCGACGTCTCCATAATCTTCTTCGACAATCTGGGCAGCCAATTCATAACAGTAGGACACACCTACATTGGCATACAGCGTAATACATCAACATCCCTACTTTCACCAAATGAACTCTATGCAGGGGAATTTATGTTCAACGACATGCTACACTTCACAACCAACCAACCAAGACGTACCACTACAACAATCTGTCGCCGCATGATGGGCTACATCCTCCCCAACCCCAACAACATGGTGCACAACTATGTATGACCTCCATGGGTATTATGCTATTTCACCATCGACATCGGCATCAATCGGCACATCCTAGTACGAGCATGTCATGAACAAGGGACAACAACAACTCAGGGGACTCACAATTTTTACTTCCACGGCTACGTCGGCGACCTCTGCTACTCCTTCAAATTCATCATCGACCAAACCCGTGACAACAAGATTGGAGCTCCAATAATGCGAGGACATCTCAACATATGCATCCAAGCAACTCCACCAACCCGTCCTCCACCAACTAATGGAACAAACGCCTGGACAATGATTCGGCGCGAGGACGCACAGAGTGGAGATGGCGGGCTATGTCATGCGCCCAATATGGGCCCCGATAACAAGCCTAGCGGGCCCAGCAAGGCCCAGCGCGGGGCCATGGCTGGCCTGTGGCGCCTCCTGCGCACGGCCAGGGGAGGGTGCGCCTAGGGAGGGCCGCCACCACCCGGGGGAAATCTAGCCTCCCGTGATGATTAGAATAAAATAGGAAAAATAATAGGGATTTGCTTAGTAAAAATAGATTGAGATTTTGTTAGGAAAATAAATAGTTACTTGTAATGAAAACAATCCAAATCTATAAGGACTCTTTCCACAAGAATTAGGTTTCTTAAGGGTGAAGTCCCATAGGGACTAGAAATATAGGGGCATTGTAACCATTCAGATCAAGCAAGAGAAATAATCTATTCCCTACCTCCTCTCTCTCTCTCTCTTTTGCTGCCGCCCCCTCCCTCTCTCCCTCATGTGCACCCCTTGCCCTAGCCGCACGCCATCGTCGCCAGCCCGCCGCCGCCGCCCCACGTTACCTGTCGCCTGTTGACACTTCTAAACATCACTACCAGGTTTGTGTCCCCGATAACGGCGCTAGAAATGCTTGTTGATACTTCTTAACGACTAGTGGAGGGATTCCACAAGCACACAGAACTATCGCGTAGCACTTCGCTCGGTGAGTACCGAGTGTTGAATTTATATTTTCTCAAAGGAAGGTGGAAGGCTAAATTTATATTTATTTGTTAGGATCGCTAAAGGAAAGCCTAAGTGTATCCTAAGTGGTTAAACGATAATGGTAGTTGTGAGTGAACTACTAAGTAAACTACTAAACAAGCTACACTAGAGATAGAATAGCTAGGTGGGAGAGCGAGCAATTTATCTTTCAGTAACAAAGGGTAAACAAATGACTAGGAGAAATGCGCTAGTACTTCGGGGCACAGCCCGCCTACCAACTAGGAGAGTTAAATAGATAAGGTCTGCCACGAGCCCTATGATTTAATAATTAGACCTAACGTGGTTAGATACAGAGGATGGAGAAGGCTGTCACCACTTGCCAACTACCACAATCTTTTTGGAGGCCTAGCCGTATCCACAGGTAATCTATAGCCTAAGCACCTCGCTTAATCTATAGGCTTACTACTTTGATCTGAGCTCCGATGAAATGGGATCAAAGTACCCTAACCAGACGATGGAACCGGTACTAACGAAAGACTACTAATTAAAAGTTAACCTATGCTACTAATGGCAAGTAACAAGCACCTAAGCTCACTAATGATGAACAATAATGAACTAGAACTTGAACTAAGCAAAGCAATAATTACTAAATAAAGTACTAAAAGTAAAGTACTGAATAAAGTAAATGCGAAATGAAAGAATTACAAAGGAGCTATACCAGATCCAGAAGACTCTTCCGGACTCCGAGAGAAGCTCCGCTCTTGCTCTACTCTACTACTAGACTACTTCTACTTCTAAGCTACTAAGCTAGAGAGCTGAGAAGCTTGGAGAGCTTGGAAATGAATGGGGCACTTCTCCATCGAGCACCACTGCCCCTATTTATAGTGTGGAGAGGCAGTGGGGGTACTAGTAGGCAGCCAAGAGGTCGGTTGGGGTGCCTTGGGCGCTGGGCGGCACCTAGGCCAACCGGCCCTCCATTCCACTGCCTCTGCATCCTACGACGCTGGTTGGATCCCATTGGCGGTTGTGAAGTCGGCACGTGCGAAGTTTTGGACAGAAAGGCAGTTCCAAGGTCGCTTGGAGGCCTCCAAGTCTATGACGGTGGTCCCGGCGATCCAAGGCCACTCCATCTCATCCCTTGGTGCAAACCGACATTGGATCAACACTTGAGAAGGCTTGGGGGTTGCTCCCATGGATCGGTGATGTGGCCGAGCCACTTGGCGCACCGGGCGGCACCATAGTGAGGCCGGTCGATGTGGCCAAGTGGGCCCAAGGCCCCCTACCACATCCACTTGCCTCCTTTGCCCATTTTCTTCACCATTTTGCACAAATTTTGCTATAATTCCTGCATACAAATAATTC